CCTTGCGAGAGTCTTATTGATTAAAACTGTAAAAAAAATTTTTTTAATTAATTAAATAAATAAAAATTTAAATAAAATTGTATTTAAATTAAATTTAAAAAATTAAATTAACTATTGAACTTTGAATAGGGCTGGAGGGTTGGGGGTTTCTAGGAAATCATCGAATATCTTCAAAAGGAATCTTTCAAATTTTTTCTTAAATTTTCGAATCTGATATTGAACGTAAAACCTCTTATATAAATTTTCTTCCTTTTTTAGGTTCTGGATTTCCGGAACCACAAACTAATAGATAAATTATTATATAAAATTTCTAAAATATTACTAGTTACAAAAATAATATTAAAAATAAAATGATAGCCTTTTTTTGTATATTTTCGTATTAGTAAAAGCCTATTTTTTTAATTTTCCAACTTTTTTTTCATAATTCTCGTGTTTGGCTAAGAAAGAGTTTGCAAAAGTTTAGCCACCGGGCAGCTACTACCAACTGCTAGTTGTCGCTAGGCGCTTTCGCTCACCACATACAGGAGCTCTACCATTGAGCTATCGGGGCATCGACTATTGCCTTCTCTTTTTCCTTGTAAGACGCATGATAGATTCAAAGGCCTTGAGAGGGCAAGCAAATTTTTTATTGATTATAACGTGTAAATAAATTTTTTTATTAATTAAATAAATAAAATTTAAATAAAGTTTTATTAAAATAAATTAAAAAAATTAAATTTTATATGTAAGTAAAGTCTAGTAATTTAGAAGATATTATATACATAAAAACGCTTTCTAAAATATGTAAAAAATAAAAGTTTTGCAATATCGGTTTATCAATAATAAATTAGGAATCAGGGTCTTAGGCCTTAGAAACCTTAAAATAGGTAGGTTGTATAAAATATACAAAAAGGTGACAAAAATGGATAACTTTTAATTAGGGTTCAGCGGTATCGGGATCCCAACCGGTATCGGGCGGTATTATACCGGTCTCTTTGAATACCGATACCGATTTTACTGATACCGATACCGAAAGATAAATCCCGATACCGTTTTTGCTGATACCGATATCGAGGCCGTTATCGGTATCCTTCGAATGTCAAAAAACCCTCTCTATACTTTGAAGATCCTTCCTATACATTCGAATGTCAAAAAATCAATTCAATTTTTAAGACACTCTCTATACTTTGAAGACCCTCTCTATACATTCGAATGTCAAAAAATCAATTCAATTTTTAAGACACTATACTTTAAAGAGCCTCTCTATACATTTGAATGTCAAAAAATCAATTCAATTCCTAAGACCGTCTCTATACGTTGAAGATGTTTATCGATGGAATTTAAATAAAACACGAGATGAGGAACGAGTCTTTCTTATGCATGGTTTTACAAGTATTTCAACTAAAATTATTTCATGGAATGGTAAAGATGGATGAATGATAAAATTATGAGTTTGTTCTGTAGACGGATGCTAGTTTGGGATTTGTTTCACTCAAATATTTCAACAGAATATTTGCTTTCTTGTCGTCATCATTTATGTTGATATATTTTCCATAAAATTAGTATTTTCACGTTTAAAATTTTTATTATAAATTTTTATATCTTTAATTTGTTGTTCACATTCCAGAGCTGTAAGCCAACAACATCGGCAGGAAATCTTTGCAACAACATCGGGAGAAAATTTTTGCAATGGTTAGATGATGCTTGAGATATCTTTCAAACGAGCTCATTCAAAAATCATTCATTTAATAAGGTGAAACTAAAAAAGATTAAGCCAAATTTAACAATGAAATACATTTTTTTAAGAGTTCCTAATTTAAGAAATTTATATTTCGAAAAATAGGTTGAAAAATAGAGCCCCACCCTGAATTAGAACCCCATCCTGAAATATAGACCACTTTTGAGGATAGTTAAAAAATAGAACCCCATGGGGTTCCGTTTCGGAAATACGGTATTTTGGATTATCCAACCGAAACTCCGTTACAATTCCTTAAATTTCAGCCCTCTGGGTTGCACAGTTGCAAATTTTATACGTATGAAAGAAAACCATGGAATAAACACTAATTGGAGAAAATAATTTTTTAATTTGATAACTCCCATTCCCGTTCATTTTTAGATTTCGAGATTTTACCAGAAAATTTTTAGCTTAAGATTTTTATGACATTTAAATAAAATTACCAGCCTTACTCTTAATATAGACAACTTTTTAAAATTAATTTAAATAAAATTTTATTTAAATTTTTATTTATTTAATTAAATTTAAAAAATTATTTCACGTTTTAATCAATAAAATCGACTCTTGCAAGACCTTCGAATCCTATATAGGTTTTACAAATTGCCAACATTCTTTCTTAGAGTATAATCGAGGCTATAATTCTATCCTATGTCGAGAATTTGGTATGAAAATAAAGTCTAAAAAATTAAAAATAATTTTCCTTTTTAATTAACATATTGGCTAAACGGCTAATGCTGTTGTTATTGTCTATTAGCTTTGTTATCTGCCGTTAAATTTAAATTTATCCTGCAACCTTATTAATTCAAAATTAATAATAATTATCTTTCAAGACTTTAAATTCATTGAAAGTCTCGCTAGTTTAATTAGCATAATTTTTAACTCTCGTTTTTATCTAAAAAATTTTTTACAAATAATTTTTCCGATGAGTCGCCCGCCCTCCTCGCATTTTAAATAAAAGAGAGAGCTTGATAGCTTGCCATTCACTTGCAATTCTAAATTTTTAATTTTTCCCAACTAAATTTAATTTTTAAAAATTAAAAAATGTTTTCCTCAATTTTTATTCTTCTTTTAATTCAAACACTCTATTATTTTGGAAAAACACAAAATGGAGAAGTTTATGATAAATTTATCAAATATCTCTTGGTTAATAAAAATGTCCAAACACCTATTTATCCTTTTTCTAATAATAATGCCCAGTCAATTGATCGCTGGATTTCCGAAGATTCTATGAAAGGTTTGGTTATATATTGGCACGAAATAAAAGAAATTTTGGGAGAGACAAAAGCTTCTCAATTTTATCATAGTAACCAAAATATATTTCAACAAGACAATAATGGGTTTTATTGTAATGTTACTGACATTGCCCAAAGAGTTTTTGGCTCTGCAAGTTTGATGATACCTCAGAAGTACACTGATAAGCTTAGTAAGTTACAGTCGAAACTATTTTATACCAGGGCCCTATTTCAATTGTCCACAGATTCTGCGGTCTGCGTTCTGTGCACAGACCACAGAACCACAGAAATTCTGTTTCAATTATTCCACAGATTCTGCGGAAAAAGAAGTCCGCAGATTCTGTGGAAACATGCACAGAATCTGTGGAAACATCCACAGATTCTGCAAAACATCCAAAAACATGCAAAAACCACAGAATTCTATTTCAATTATTTTTCTGTGCACAGAAAAAAATCCACAGATCTGTGGCTTTTTTAGTCGATTCTGTGCATTTCTGTTTCAATTATTTCTGTGGTCTGCGGAAAATACACAGAATTCTTTAAAAAATCCACCCTAAAATTTTTTCTGCGAACTTTCTGTGGAAAAACTTTAACAATTTTTTTCTAGGCCTAGGCTTAACCAAATTTCAAAATTTTTAAAGATTATTAAAGTTTGAATCATTCTCTATTTTTTGATATAAAAATTATAATTTTATTACCTAAAATTATTGCTTAAAATTAATTTTGAAAAAGGTACATCTTTTTTACGCAGTTTTTGTTATATTCAAGCAATAAAAAAATAAAAAACGTGAGAGATTCTGAAATTTAGAGCTATGATGTTCTAATCATCATGGATATCTCTAATGAGGGGATGTTTACCAGGATCTATAGAATATATCTGTATAGCGTATACTGGGATATCTCCCATGATCTCTCATTGATATCCGTCATAATCTCTCCTCCTATTTAATGATAGATTTCCTCCTTAATCACTCCAATATATTAAACCTCAAAATCAATGGATATCCCACTTAATCACTCCTCTACGATTTTAAAGTTCCGATTTGACTATAATTTTGGATTCCAGGCATTTTCGATTTCCAGGAACCTCAATTTCTGACTAAACAATCCCCAAACATTTCCCTCCCTTGCAACAACTTCTATCGTAGTTTGAAAAAGCCACATGTCGGATCGACATCTCCTGATTTTTCCGATCCGAACCCTGCTTTAGGACATTAATTTAATTGGAGATTTAAGGATATTGGATGAACAAGAAAATTAAGCGGTATATCAGCGGTTTTAAAGTGATATCAAAGAGATTTAAAGGGATGTTATGTGATTTGGAGGGAAAATTTTTAAATCTTTACAATATTTTTCAGTTTAATTTAAGAATTTTTAAAGTTTTACTTCAAAAAATCAGGTACCATTAATACTGCGGTAGTACCGAACTGTCCAAACCATTTTTCGTTTCAATAAAACTGTTATTTTCAAAAACGCGGAAATAAAAAATTTGAATTTAGAAGAAAAAATACACAGAACCACAGAAAAATAATTGAAATACAAATTCTGTGGATCAGTGGAAAAAATCCACAGATTTTTATATTTTCCACAGAAATTTTCATCCACAGAATCTGCGGAATGTTTCCACAGAATCATTGGATGTTTCCGCAGAATCTGCGGGCACCACAGATTCTGTGCACACAGAATTTAATTGAAACAGAATTTCCACAGAATCTGTGTTCTGTGCACAGAATGCAGAATCTGTGGACAATTGAAATAGGCCCCAGAGATGGGTCGGAACAGTCAGAGGTGTCGGAAATCGGAAGAGCCGGAAATCGGAACTGGCTCAAAAGTCGGAACTCGGAAATCAAAATTTTTTTCGGAAATCGGAAGGAAAAATCGGAATTCGGAAATCGGAATTCCGACCCACCTCTGTTTTACACCATTGGGAATAAAAAATTTTCTTTAGAATGGGTCTAAAAACACATGTATTTATTCACTAATAAAAATAATTGTTAATTTAAAGCAATTATTAAAATAAATTTTCAGACGAGCAGTCAAATTGTTTAACTGAATTTCTGGTTGAAAAATATGGAGAAGAATGTGTAATAGGCCAGGAAGCTTCAATAGGGCATCCAAATAATTTTGAAAAATTGATGAATAATTTAAATATGATTAGCTATGGAGATAAATATTATGTTTATCGTTGGGATTTAAATAAAACGGGAGATGAGGAAAGAGCCTTTCTTATGCATGGTTTTATAAGGAATGAAAATGGTTTTGATAAACTAAAAGAATGTTTACAAATCAAAATTTTTGGAGATGAACAGGAAAATGAACAGAATAATCCAACTTTTGATGATTTTTATAAATTATACAAACGCTTCCATCCAAAACAATTATTCTTCAAAGATATCCCAATTAGTAAAAATTTTAAATTAATATAAAAATAAATATATTTTAACTAGTTAACGAAGGATTTTATTATAATCATCACAATAAAGATGAAGATGTATGCCCTATCTGCCTTGAAATATTTAAAATTAACGATTATGTTTATAAATGTTCTAAATGCAAAGTTTGATAAAATTATTAAATAACTAATTAAAGTTGTATTTTTTAGAAAGAAAATCATGTTAAATGTATTGTACCATGGTATAGATTGGATTTTAAATTTTTAAAATTTATTTTAAGAGAATAAACTTATTGTCTGATGAATAAATTTAAGGTCTGACAATAAAGAACACCCTAGATGCCCTGCATGTCGCCACGAGATAATTATTACACCTAAAGTTAAGGATTCACGCAAACGTCAAAAACATAGTGATGCATCATCAAGTAAAGGAAAACATCCAAAACACTGTATGTTTTAAATAGGGCTTCTAGAAATATACAAATGGATGTTCAGATAATATGTTAACAAGAGAAAAGCGCTAAAAATGCATATTTTCAGCTTTGGCTACTTTTGGCGTAGGGATACTTTTGATTGTTCCTTATTTAATTCTCTATCATTATATCTAAGTTAAATAAAGTTATATTAACGATAAAGTGGCCAGTTACTTTCGGTCAATCTGTAATTAAAAATTTATTTTTTAAATTTAATAAATTAATTTAATTTAGAATTTGACAAAAATGATATCGAAAAAAGAGAACAAAAGCGATGACTTGATTTTAAAAAAATTTTTCCGATTTTAGGGATTTATTTGGTTAACTTTTTTATTTGGGATTGGTTTTTTGAAGTAATTTACTTTATTTTCAAAATTATTTAAAGTTGTAGTATTTTTTAATACAAGCAAGCATCAGAACAAGAGTTGTTCACTATTGGTTTTTCACGATTTTTTCAAGATATTTTTGTCCAATTTTAAGGACTTGGTTAACTTTATTACGTGGGAATGTTTTTGACGTAATTTATAAAATTTTTAAAAAATTGGCTCTACACACTTTATTAGTCCAATTAAACTTTATAAGCCCTATCAAAAAATAATTGGATTTTTTTTGGGTTTGCAAAGTAGGGGTATGGGATCAAAACATTTCATCATGTTCGGGACCTACGCCCGATGGGTTTGGGACCGTTCCTTACCCTATTCCTCAAAATTTCTGAAAGTTTTAGCCTATTTTTGTAATGTCAGAAAAACGATTTTGACTCTCAGAAATTTCGAAAGATAGGGGAAGGAATGGTCCTAGATCCAGTGGGCGTAGGTGCCAAACATAAAAAAATGTTTTGTTAAATTTTAGGAATTTTGTTTTTTATTAAATTACATAGGTAATATTTTACATAGTTTTAGAATTTGTTCAGTAAACTCAGAAAATTAAAGTTAGAAAATCATAATCATTTAAATACTATTTATTCGTTTCCTGTTCTGTTTGATTTTTATTAGCTTTCTTTATTTTTCTTCGCTGTCTATTGTAACAAGTATCACAAATATATTGTTCAGGTTTTGAATGACGGTACCACCTTGATGTTTTTGTTGCTCCGCAAGTAAAACATTTTCGATCATTTGTGATTCGCTAAAATATTTATAAAAATAGGAGTTGAAGCTAGTTTTCAGATAAAATATTTTAAGCTGTTTTTCTACATAATTTTGGTCGAATTGATTTTGTCAAGTGTTGCATATAAGTTAGATGCAACACAAATTTAAATTCGCACAAATAACAAAAGTAATGTTCTTGTAAATATTTAGGAAAATATTGAAATCCATATACATAAATAAGTTCCCATAAACAACTCATTGTTAATTATAATATGAATAAATTTATACCATGTTAGTATGCCAGAAACTATTTTCTGGTCTCAATTTACCATTGTATTTTTTATACTTGTGACATAGTTCACACTAATAGTGTTCTTTTAGATATCTATTCCATCTCTTTTTAATTGTAGATCTACAATTGAAACAGTTTCGTTTATTTCCTTCAATTATTTTTCCTATAATAATAAAGAAAAATATGTATATTTTTAGGCATATAAACAAATAAAAAATTAAAATAAGCTATCTACTTATTTCACTCCCGATGTAAATAATTCTAATTTTTAATCCTTCCACCGTATATTGAAATTTTTGTTTTTCTAACAATTCAATTTTATATCCAATTAAATTAATTTCAGTCCAATAACTTGATAAAAGTTTGTCTTTGCAATTTTCTATATTTTCTTTTAATAATTCTTTTTTATTTATTATTTCAAAACTTTCTTCTAATATCGAAGTTTCATAATAATTATTATTCATGATAAAATTATTGTTTAAGCGAATCTTAAATATATTAAATTTGTGTATTATTGAAGGCTTAAATTTCAATTTATCTAATATAAAATACCTGATTTCCCAAGTCTTTCAAAAATTTCTTAACAATTGCATTATTGGCAATTTCAATCAAAATTCTTATTTTCAATTGAGAGCTAAAGTTAGACCTCGTACTTAGTTTAATAACAAAAACTTTATTAACAGGATTTACTTCAAGCTTACAAAACGATCCAGTATTCTTATAAAGATAATCAACTATTCTACTGTTTGGTTTTACATTCATTATCAATACAAAACTTTCCTTTATTTGAATATTTTTTAAATAAATAAATTCTCTTTTTTCTTCCCAATCATCTTTTATTTTTACTCCAACCTCAACCATTTTACCTTTGATTTGGATATTCAACAGAACAACCAAATATGAGAAAAGAATAATAATAAATTTATTCATTTTAAATTTTAATATTAATAATAATTAACGGAATATTAAAAAAAACTCAAAGTTATATAATCATCAAACTTTTTTGCTTTAAATAGCCTTGATATAACTACTTTATCGTTTATTTTGAAATATAGCCGGCATTTAAAAATAAATATTTGGACTTTTTATTTTTTAAAAAATAATATATATTTCTAAATGCTTATATTAAAACTAATCATATTAAATTAATTAACTAAAAGTACAAATAACTCTTTTATTCCGCCGCTTGACAAAGTAAATAAAATAAAGTACAATTTCAAAATAATTAATGACTTGTGGACTAATCATATGAATTTACTATTAAATATAAAGTGCAAATATTTATTTTTAAATGTCTTATAAATTTCAAAATAAATAAAGACAGTCGTTAATTCAAGCTTATGTAATCTTCAAAATTTACCGCCTCGGCTAATTAAGTAACCTTATTTATGTTTTAATTGTATAATCAAAACACAGGACTGTCCAAAATAATTTTTTGAAGCTTTTAGTGAAGTCTATTTAAAAAAAATTAAAAAATTACAAGCATTTACAAGAAATATAACATAAAACTTTAATTTAGAAGTTAATTTTCGTACATAAATATTAAAGGAACACTGGGTTTTGAAGTGTTCCGAACACTAGGTTTTAAAACGTGCAATAAATTTATGGAGTACCCTTCAAGGATTGAAGCTTTTCAACATTTTTATATACAGGGTCTTATAGTTTTTTGTTTTATGGTTTTATGTGTTTTAGTTTTGTAAACAACAAAGTACATAAGAAAGTTAAAATTATAGTGGTAAAAAAGTAAAAAAAATTTAAAATGTTAAATAACGTAAAAAAATATCGTAATAAATAAATTTAAATAAAAATGTCAATCAGGGTAAAATGTCAATCATGAAACATATGTATAAACCATATAAACTTTTATTGTTTATATGTTTTTAAATATGAACATATTTTTCTCAAAATCAAAATCTCTTTAACTCTTGGTCTGGATTTATTAAAGTTCTATGTGGCCCCTACAACTTAATGAGGCGCATCCAGGAAAAATATGAAATCGGCGCCAAAACCAACCTCTGCCCCGAAACGCTCGGGTGAAGTTTCAAACGCAAATAACTCGGAAGGCAAAAGTCGGATCAAAAAGTGCATAGGAAAGGGCACTTCATCGATATGTGTATTACATTCACAATTGTTAAAGACCGCAAATACCATTTCATTAAACTTGCCAGAAAAAAGAGGTTTTTTTACCTGATTGGATCCTTGTGCTTGGTGGCCTTATTGAAATATAAAAACTGTGCTTACTCCCCTCCACCTATTGTTTTTTGATATTCGGGGACCTGTATCTCGATCCACAGCCATCTCCGGAAAAATAGAGTAGTACCATTCGACTAAGCTCGTCGAGACGAATCGAATGGTATGGGTCTTATATCGGAACTAAAACTCCGGTATACTAAACTATATCCAAAAATATTTATTTAAATTTGTCTTGTCTTTATGTTTATATCGGCGATTGTACATATATTTCAAAATTAATAAAAATATCAATTTATCAAGTTAAAGTTAAATTTAAAATAAAACATTTTACGAATGAAAAGTGTTTAAAATAAAAATAATAAATAAAAATATAATCGTTTAAAATAAAAAAAATGGTACATACAATGTACAAATTTTTAATAATTTTCCGTGTTTTTAGTTATAATTTTACAAATTTATGTTTTTCCAGGTAATCAGGATTCGATCAGTTTTAAAACAGGAAATTTAATATTTATTGCCAAAAAATAACCATTTTACGAAATTTTATAAACCTTTTTCTTTAATTTAAAAACTAAAACTCAACACCGAAAACCGTGTTTTTAAAATTGGACCCAACCGAAAACTGGGGGTACCGGTTAATAACCTGTACCCATAGTTTCAAAAAATAAATAAATAGTTAAATCTTGTTAAATCAAAAATAATATCCACTACTTAAACATTATTAGGATTTCTGTGTTTTAAAATCTCCTAAATTTTGATTCAGATATCGGCTAGAAAACAATTTTTGTTTATAAAAATATCAACTTATTTTTTTTTAATTTTAATGTTTTCCTCTAACTAAATCAGTTAAAGTAGAAAAAAGTGAGGTCTATTTTTAATGATCTATTAAGATTTAACTATATAACAAAATTTTTACATAGTTAAAATTGTGGATAATTTTAGTTTGTTTGGATTAAATATTACTCTCAAAAATTTTAAAAATCAAAATAAA